ACAGACAAACGCCAGCAAAAACATAACCTCCTTGGCGTAGGTAATTAAATCTTGGTTCATTATTAATTAAGTCTTTGTTCATGCTTTATTAAGGCTAAATAAGGTGTAGTTATTATAAAGTGTTACCTAAAGTAGTTTTAATATTATCAAAAAAAGGTGTTGTTGAATAAATGTAAGATGGATACATAGCAATTTATTACATCGTGCTTCAAAATGTGTTATTGTTGTAATAATGTTGTTATGTTGTAATGAAGTGGATCCTGTACAAACGCACCTTGGGGAGATCTGCTACTTGCATTTAAATAGCAAATTTGATTACCGTTTCATTAATTTTACGCTCTTTAATAAGCATTTCCTGTTCTCTTTGTAATTTCTGGAGAGACCACGTGATGTTTAGGGGGTCACTGTTCCGTAGCTGTGGTCTGTCGGGTCTGAGAGAGAGTTGGCATGAGAGAGGCTGGCATGAGAGAGGCTGGCATGATAGAAGTTGGCATGAGAGAGTCTGGCATGAGAGAAGTTGGCATGAGAGAGTCTGGCATGAGAGAGTCTGGTCTGAGAGGCTGGTATGAGAGGAATCTGCAGCTCCGGCAGCAGCTGCAGGTGGGACAGACACAGGAAATGTGATGAGGTACAAGTGGACCACAAGGACGAGAATTAATATGACTACAGCAGAATTTTAAGTGAAACTGAACAACATTTGAAACCGAATTTATTGCAGCACTTCTGTTAAACGCACTGTGTATCTTTTGTGGTCTAGGGCACAGGTGTCAAACATACGGCCCGGGGGCCAGATCTGGCCCTCCAAGACCTTTAATGTGGCCCTCGGCTGATTTTCTACTAAAATATTTTAATTATATTTCTTATTAAAATAATTGGTAATTGGTAATTTTCTGTGGTGTTTATCACAGCAGCGTCTCCAGCGTCTCTGTACGTGGCCCCTCCCACCAGAGCAGCACAAATGAAGACTTGTCTCTTTCCAAACGCTCTTAAAGGACGATCGTTTTGACTGTTGACCGTGACACCCTCATCAACAAAATGTCCAACATGAGAAAAGTGGAGCCGAGTGCAGGATTTTGCAACAAAAATTTACTTATTCCTATTTACATACAAGTTCATGTTAAAACATTGTGTTGAAATTGTATTTTTCTTAAAGTTTCAGGTTGTTCATAATATTATAATATTTTGTAAAAAAAAAAATTAGTTGACATGAGTTTTCTGATCCGGCCCCTTTGGATCAAAGTCGGTTGGATTCGGCCCCCGGACCAAAATGAGTTTGACACCCCTGGTCTAGGGTCTGTCACCTACTTCTCTCCATGGTGATACTAGAGGGCCAAATAAATAAAAAAAATAAAAAAGTGTTGTTGAATAAATGTAAGATGCGTTTAAAGCCATTCCAGGAAAGAAACACTAACATCTTTATGGAGACAAGCAGGTAGCAAACTCTCCACCAGGAAATTTACACATTGCACCTTTAGCTTTGTCCAAAAATAATACCAAAACTACGACTATACTAATACTAATCGCTATCTAAAAAGAAAACTATACCGATATTACATACTCATTTCAAGAAAAATGATACTAACCACATACAGAGACCACATAGTATAGTTATTTTTCAGTTTATGTTGAAAATCTAAATCATCTAAATCTAAATCATGCCTTAAATCTCCAGCACAAGACGATAATTGATTTGGGTCGGCCTGTTGACTAAAGAATACACATAATGCTTTATTTGAACACTTTATTATGAAGAGATAACTGCACAAAACATGACTGCACTGCTCTATGAAAGGGTTGTGGTTAGAAAAAAAAAAAAGGCTGTGGGCGAGATTGTAAAACATTTAAATTACATAGACTATAAAATGGGGAAAGCAATGGAAATCAGGCCTATAATCTGGGTCTACTGATTCAGGAAAAGATTATGTTTGTATGTAAGGTCATAAAACATGTCCCCAGATATAAACACTTTCAAATAAAGTTTCAAATCAATTTTTTCATATTTTTTTACCCTATGTAATTGTAATATAATGTGATGTGAGAGCTGCTGTGTCCAGGTAATTTCCCTTGTGGATCAATAAAGTTTCTCTAGGTCTAAGTCTGAGTTTAAGTCTGGGTTTAAGTCTAGGTCTAAGTCTAGGTCTAAGTCTAGGTTTAAGTCTAGGTTTAAGTCTAGGTTTAAGTCTAAGTCTAGGTCTAGGTTTAAGTCTAGGTTTAAGTCTAGGTCTAAGTCTAGGTCTAAGTCTAAGTCTAAGTTTAAGTCTAGGTTTAAGTCTAGGTCTATGTCTAGGTTTAAGTCTAGGTCTAAGTCTAGGTCTAAGTCTAAGTTTAAGTCTAGGTTTAAGTCTAGGTCTATGTCTAGGTTTAAGTCTAGGTCTAAGTCTAGGTCTAAGTCTAGGTTTAAGTCTAAGTCTAGGTTTAGGTTTAAGTCTAGGTTTAAGTCTAGGTCTAAGTCTAGGTTTAAGTCTAAGTCTAAGTCTAGGTTTAATTCTAAGTCTAGGTCTAAGTCTAAGTCTAGGTTTAAGTCTAGGTTTAAGTCTAAGTCTAAGTCTAGGTCTAAGTCTAGGTTTAAGTCTAGGTTTAAGTCTAGGTCTAAGTCTAGGTTTAAGTCTAAGTCTAGGTTTAAGTCTAGGTTTTAAGTCTAAGTCTAGGTCTAAAGTCTAAGTCTAAGTCTAGGTTTAAGTCTAAGTCTAAGTCTAGGTTTAATTCTAAGTCTAGGTCTAAGTCTAAGTCTAGGTTTAAGTCTAGGTTTAAGTCTAAGTCTAAGTCTAGGTCTAAGTCTAGGTTTAAGTCTAGGTTTAAGTCTAGGTCTAAGTCTAGGTTTAAGTCTAAGTCTAGGTTTAAGTCTAGGTTTAAGTCTAAGTCTAGGATTAAGTCTAAGTCTAAGTCTAGGTTTAAGTATAGGATTAAGTCTAGGTTTAAGTCTAAGTCTAGGATTAAGTCTAAGTCTAAGTCTAAGTCTAGGTTTAAGTCTAGGATTAAGTCTAGGTTTAAGTCTAGGTTTAAGTCTAAGTCTAGGTTTAAATATAAGCCTTAGTCTGAAGTTTAAGTCTAGGTCTTTAAATCTGAGTCTAAGTCCAGGTTTAAGTCTAAGTCTGAGTTTAAGTCTAAGCCTAAATCTAGGTTTAAATATAAGTCTAAATCTAAGTCTAGGTTTAAGTCTAAGTCTGAGTCTAGGTTTAAGTTTAAGTCTAAATCTAAATATTGTTGTTTTTTGTTTGAATTAATCCACTTATGAAGCCTGACCTGCCTCCTGTTAGACTCTCTGCTTATTTTATCACGATTATTATTATTATTTTGTAATCTGACGTCAGTTTTAAAGTATTTACAATGTCCTGACATCACGTGAAAACACTTTATACTGTTATCGTGCACTCAGGCCTTTTGTCTTTTGTCTGAGCTCACAGAGAGACTGGCACAGACTGAACCGGGGGCACAGACACTGGCATCAGCACAGATCCACTGAGGACGTGGATCAGAGCCACACAAAAGCCCAAACTCATCAGTGACACAGCACTTTGAGCACTGAGCACAATGGACACTCATCTGAACAACAACCGAAGCTGGAAAAAAGAATCACATATTGATACTTTGCAGCTGATATCATCAACATTCCCTGGGGTGGGATGCTAACTGAAGGCACTACTCTGTCAGAAGTTCTTTTAGAGCTTTCTCATCAGATTGTTAAAAAAATTAAGAGCAGATGAAAGTCTAATTTAGTAAGTCTTTATTTATTTATATAACGCTTTTCACAGACATTTTCTGTCCCCAAAGACGCTTTACAGAGCATTATTCATTCACTCTATAAGCTACTATTGCAGCCACAGCTGCCCTGGGGCACAGTGACAGAAGCACGGCTGCCATGACACTCGGCGCCATTGGTCCCTCCGACCACCACCATCACTCACACACACCACTTTCATACTAGGCAATGTGGGTGAAGTGTCTTGCCTAAGGACACAATGATTGAACTGATTGTATTTAACTGATCTTGACTATCAACTGTTCTGGAGACCTGGAGCATGTTTTGGGTTGATGGGGGAAACCGGAGGAAACCCATCCACATACAAACTCCACACAGAAAGGCCTGGGCGACCCGGGGATCGAACCCAGAACCTTCTTGCTGTGAGGCATGAGTGCTAGCCACTCAGCCACCCTGCCATCAATTTAAGAAAAATTTGTCCGAGGGCCTGCATTTGGCCCACGGGCCGTAGTTTGGACATGCCTGCTCCAACCCCATCAAAAAACAACTGCGAGCCACAATCTATATACGAATCCACTCGGGTGTCCGAGCACGACTTCAGTAAACTACAAAGCCTGCACCACCCGCAGAACACGCAAACACACACGGAGCAGACAGCGACCGCACAGCAAAAAACACCCACAGACACTCATCACTCCACGCCGACGAGGAACAGAACGGAGGAACGAACCGAAAAAGCGAGTGCGATGTGCCACTTCTAGACACGACTGAACAACTGAGTCACTGCGAACACGCCGACAATCCCAGCGATCCCAGACAGCACCTCCCTACACGCCACAACTGAACAAAGCCCAGAGTCACCGTGAACGAACAAACAAACAAAACCACTCACCCATCACACTGTTGTGTTTCATTTAAAGTCCAGTGCGGTTTATTTGTGAAAAAAAGTTCGAAAATAGACCATTTAATGACAGTGCGCCTTATAATCCAGAGCCACTAATAGCCCGGAAAATACGGTATGTATTCCAGGCAGTGTTTGCTAAAGTATGCATTGCATCACCATGGTAACAGCTGAACATTCCGCCACAGACCTACACGCATAACACTCCTAGTATCAGTATGATGTTATGCCATCTGAAACACAATGAAAAATCTCTAGAAAGCAACACTCACATCGCACACATTCCTCTCTGTGACTCACGCTTGAGGTTTGGACATAAACAAAAGCAAAAAAAAAAAAAAAAAAAAAATACAAAAACATCTCATTCACTTCCACATGAATCGGCGCAGAGTCACTCACGTTTTGAGGGTTCCAGACGTCATGAGCTCCGTCACCAGAACAATGCATTTCTTCCCCTTGCAGGGCCCCTCCCAGGAGTCGTAGAATCGGACAATGTTAGGATGCTGTAGGCCCTTCAGCATGCCCGCCTCCTCTTTGAAGCGCTGGCGTTCAGACTTGGACAGCTTTCGGTCCTAAAAACAATACAAGAAAAGGAAGGAACCGTCATTACATAAGTCCTGGTAACGCGAGTAGAATGGACGCAAGCGTATTAATAGATCATTCTGGAACAATAAGAGGCAGGGGTTAATATGCCCGCGGCAATAAATCACACCGCAAGTTTAAGTTAAAGAGGAAAAACCAACTCATTTCACTTCTGGTAAATAATTTAGGGTATTTTAAAGCAACTACACCTTATTTAGCCTTAATAAAGCATGAATAAAGACTTAATTAATAATGAACAAAGACTTAATTAATAATGATTCATGCTTAGTAAATGTTTAATAAAGGATATTTAGTCTTCACTTTAGAAAAGTATATAATAACATCTAATAACATAATAACAGCTGCCTGAATTATCATTGCATTGCATTATTAGTAAATCATTCTCTCATAGTTTACTAATCATTAATAAATGCTCAAATGGTTAGTTCATGAGTAATTAAGTATGAAATAATTATGAGTAACTATTTACAACACAGGCAAATTAAGTGCAAGTGCTAATTAAGGTAGTAATTAAGTAGTTACTAAGCGTGAATCATTATTAATTAAGTCTTTGTTCATGCTTTATTAAGGCTAAATAAGGTGTAGTTATAATAAAGTGTTACCGTTTTCTCTTCTTTCGAGATATGTAATATTAAACCTTTTATTAAAATCAATGTTTAATAAAAGTTTTGCTTAAACATTGAATCCAGAACAAGCAGAATATAAAATAATAACACAATTTTAAATAAATAATGTCTCTATAGTCTATCTGTAGCCGGCAGGGAGCTCTAATACAGATTTGTTGTGATCTCGCGGGGCCAAATATAATTATATCACGGGCCAAATTTGGACCCCGGGCCTGAGTTTGACATGTCTGACCTAAACTATTACGTTATTTTCCGATCTATGTTATAATGTTGTTTCTTGGAGTTGTGTTGTTTTTTTTTTTCCTTCACACATGTTTAACACAAAAAAAATCCAGCATATTTAGTCTGAGGTTATATCCACACGACAACACTCCTGGATTTTTTCTAACCCTAAAAAATTCTCGTCCACACACGTCGGATCAAGAAATGTTCACGTCCAGACGACAACGGAGCACTGAGTGAAAACGATGTAACAGCTGTACGTGGTGCTGTTAATGATAATAATATTTAATAATGCATATCTCATCACCGTTTTTTTTTTTTTTGTTTTTTGATTTTTTTAACTTTAAGGTAATTTAGCCAATTTTAAATGTATCCCAGAAATATAGCCATTTTGTTTTGCAAAAATTAAACATAAGTTTTCGTTTTTAGCCATAAGAATTGGATGAGAATTATTAGAATAACTTGGTCTCAAAATCCAGCAGTTTAGTTACTTGTGCGTAGTCTTTGTTATTGATCCGTGTGTGTATTCTGTTCTTAGTATTAGGCTCCGCTGCATCGAAGGACCCTGGTGATGACGGGACGCGACGTCATCGTTTTCCAAAAACTGTGGTTTGCTCGTCCACACGACAATGCAACACCGGTGTTCTCAGATTTCTCCACTCTGGAACCCGTTCTCAAAAAACTCAGTTTTCGCCCACCTGAAACGCCGGCTCTGTGCGAACGAAGACCAAAACAAAAACAAAGTTCACCGTTTAGACCAGGGGTGTCCAAACTTTTTAATCAAGGGCCACATATCTAAACACAGATGAAGCAGAGGGCCGATCGAGGGCCGTAGACTGATGCTCAATACAGTGAATAATTAATATATGTGCATAATTAACACGTTAGAATGAGCCATCAGTCTTTATTCATGCTAAGATTGTTAAACCCACACACTAAATATTAAATATTAACTTTATCAAGGTAGATTTTCAAAAAACTTGCAGTAAAAAGTTCATTTTTAATTGATGCAAGGTAATTTGGGCCAATTCACCTCGAAGCCTGAGGGCCAAGAAAAAATTGTCTGAGTGCCGCAATTGGCCCACGGGCCATAGTTTGGACAAGCCTGGTTTAGACCAAAAAACATTGTCGTGTGGACAGGCCCTAAGTTTTTCTTCTCTCAAACAGAAACCAGAAAACTGCAAAAAAATAAATCAGAAACTGCACCATAACTCTTAATTTAAGCAAAGAGACTTGTAATTCGATATATTGTGATGGTCAACGATATTATTGTGAGAACTTTGACGATACGATATCACGATATTTGGGTTTTTTAGTTACATCCCTACTTTACAGTGACACCAAAACAAATCAGACCATTCACTTAGTTCTTTTACCTAATCTGTTACCACGTCTGTTTAATGACACGAACATTACAGTAACAACATTATAACTTGACTAAAATGTTGTAATATTGGACTTTTACGTGAGTAGTGTTTCCATAGCAATAAAAAATATAAAAAAATTGAAATATTACATCTTTAGAATGGGCAAAAGTCGCATAAATTGTTGAACTGACTGCCACCGTTTTATCTCCTCTCTTCCCTTCCGTGATATATGACAACTGGAGTATTAGCATGACAAAGTGGAAAATATTTGGTTTCCCGGGATACAACTTTTTTTATTGGCCGTTGAGTAGCGCTTATGCAACGGCCCGTGCACTTAAAAATGTCATCATCACTCAAGGACACAGCTCCACGGCTCTCAGCAGCTCCTCGCCCGCAGTGCCCACGAGCGCCTCTAGAGGGCCCACGTGTTTTGAGCTGATAACGCGAGACTCAAATAGAAACTACTTGAACACCAGTATATGAGCGGTGGAAAGAGTAATGACAAGTAAAAGTAGCAGTTACATGGTTCAAATGGACAGAATTACAAGTACAAGTACAACAAAAAATACCTAAAAGCTGCTCTGGTATTTTTTTTAAAGCAGGGGTCTCAAAAGTTTTTCCTCCAGTGAGCTACTTTTACAAAACAAAAATACCAGAGAGCTACTACACGAGAAATTTAGTTTATAACAGAGCCACAGCAAACCTTAGATGAAGTACAGATAGATTAAGGTGACCGGACGTCCCTGTTTATCCGGGACAGTCCCAGTTTTGAGCCCTGTGTCTCCTGTCCCAGCAGATTTATACAAAACCTGTGATTTTTCCCCCAGTTTTATACAAAAGAAGTCCCAGCCGTCCCTATTTTTGACCAATTTTATCCCTGCCAACAGTAAAGAGAGGCATAACTTATCATTTGTTTAGGTAAAATACAGAAAAGCTGCTTAAAAATGACAAAAACACTAGTCATAAATGAGCCGAGTACAGAAAAGTAGTCCTGGTTTAGATCTGGTTTAGACCTGGTTTAGTCCTGGTTTAGACCTGGTTTAGTCCTGGTTTAGTCCTGGTTTAGACCTGGTTTTAGTCCTGGTTTAGACCTGGTTTAGTCCTGGTTTAGACCTGGTTTAGTCCTGGTTTAGGTTTAGGTTTAGTCCTGGTTTACTGGTTTACCTGGTTTAGTCTGGTTTTAGACTGTTTGTTTGGTTTTAGTCCTGGTTTAGTCCTGGTTTAGGTTTAGTCCTGGTTTAGTCTGGTTTAGTTCTGGTTTAGACCTGGTTTAGTCCTGGTTTAGATCTGGTTTAGTCCTGGTTTAGTCCTGGTTTAGTCCTGGTTTAGATCTGGTTTAGTCCTGGTTTAGTCCTGGTTTAGACCTTGTTTCCTGGTTTAGGTTTAGTCCTGGTTTAGACCTGGTTTAGACCTGGTTTAGTCTGGTTTAGTCTGGTTTAGACCTGGTTTAGTCCTGGTTTAGACCTTGTTTAGACCTGGTTTAGTCCTTGGTTTAATCTTGGTTTAGACCTGGTTTAGTCCTGGTTTAGACCTTGTTTAGACCTGGTATAGTCCTGATTTAGTCCTGGTTTAGATCTGGTTTAGACCTGGTTTAGGTCTGGTTCAGTTCTGCTTTAGACCTGGTTTAGTCCTGGTTTAGACCTGGTTTAGACCTGGTTTAGTCCTGGTTTAATCTTGGTTTAGACCTGGTTTAGTCCTGGTTTAGACCTTGTTTAGACCTGGTACAGTCCTGATTTAGTCCTGGTTTAGACCTGGTTTAGACCTGGTTTAGGTCTGGTTCAGTTCTGCTTTAGATCTGGTTTAGTCCTGGTTTAGTCCCGGTTTTGTCTTACTGATATTCAGTGATGTTAAAAGTCTCCTCAATTAGTCCTGCACAAAGTTGGAAATGATTTACTGTTGCCAAAATCATTTATGAAAAACAACAACAACAAAAAAACATTAAAAACATTCATTCAGTTGTTATTGAAACTCATTGCCAGGAACTCAAAAGATGTCGGGAAGCTTCACATTCAGCCAATTAAAAAAACCCTGTTCTAGAAGACAAGCAGCTAATGAAGTCTCCACCAGAAAACTCACTATTCTGAATATATAATTGAAGTATTTAGTTACTTAAACACTTCTTAAATTACTGCAAGTGTTTGTAATTAGTTATAGTTTCCACTCTGGTGTTCGCTGCGGCGTGAGGTCCAGATAGAGGCTTATATTTAACAAGTCCTGCCTGTAGTTTAAGTGGCATTCCTCACACCTCAGTCACAGCGACACACACGCACGAGCACGAACACACACACGGGCTCTTTATACCGTAACCGCTGCTTCATATCTGCATGTGTGATCTCTCTCTCTCACATCCATATAATGTTAGTCACCCAACGTGCCCCAACTCGACTCGAAAACAGTTATAAGGGAAATTTAAATATGGTGCTGTAGTAAAAGGAAATGACGCAATTAATCCACAAAACAAAAATAATAAACCGTAACTGGACTCAACACAAAACCAACATATTTCCAAGCCAAACCGATGTGGTACTAACATTTTAAAGGTCCTACACTTTTCAAAATGGGCTTTAAAGGTTGTATGGAGGATTTTTTTTTTTTTTCAAGTTGTCAATGATAGATTATAGAGGTGCAGTAGCCTTGTAATTATGATGACCAAAAAAAAGAGAATAAAAATTCATCAAGTCTGGACGTGGTGGGGCTAAACATTTGCCAATAGATAACGACACTGCCTCGTTATCTGTGAGCTGACAGGCTGTC